CAACCACATTCGGTGTCCTAGTGCCCTTGCTGCAACCATACTACTACACTGTTCACATGTAAGTGATTTTGAAAATATTAAATTCCCCWTGATGTACAATTTAAGGTCTTCAAAAACCTAAAATAATTTCTATTTTTGAAACTAACAAAATTGTTTGTTGCAGCTTTTCAATGCCAGAGTAAAAGKTGCACATGGGCAAGACCTGGAAAAGATCAAGGAGTTATCATATGACTATGTAAGCGATGAAGAAAATGGATGCGATGAGAATAAGGGGAAATGGGTTGTGAGGCAACCAGCATGGAGATCGGAGGAAGCCAATATACTCATGAAGAGGCTCCAGAATAAGTTGGAGACCACAACGTCTGAAAGGCCACGAGTGTCAAGGGTTGATGGTCCTCCGTCTGACAGATGTCATCCAAGAAACATAACATTGTGGGCTGTATCATCTGATGGCATTATTAGTCAACGCGTTCACTCCAGAAGTCCATCTCCGGTGCATAGRACACAAAGGTAAAACCATATATCTCTTCAGTAGGTATATCTCCTCACTATAGCTACAACTAGTGTATGTAATAATTTGTTGTATTAATATGATTCTCATTTTTTTCCAATCCAAAGAAATCAAGGCAGTTCAAGACTGGAATCCAGAAGTCCATCTCCGGTGCACATAACACAAAGGTGAAACTATATATCTCCTCAATAGGGTTCAAAAATCACTACGGTTACAATTAACGCGGTTAGTTACGGTTAACACACCGGACTAGAATACCGAAGATGTGGGTTCGATTCCCGCCAAGGGCATTTGATAATTTTCTCTTATCCTCTCTATTTCATTACAGACACTGAGCGCATAATTTATTACTACTATAGTTACAACTAGTGTATGTAATAATTCATTTTATTATATGACCGTGAATCTTAGAGCCTGGACACTAGCAAATCGAGCAATCTGATTGGATAGATCGCATCGCGGACTGGTCTAGATTCTCCGGTATTAACCGGTCAGATCGCATATTAATCTTACGGCGAAAACATTTTTTTCCAAATCGATACATTGAGATTGAAACTAAAAAAGTAGATACGTTTTATTCGTCATACTTTTGCATGGATGACAACCCTGAGTTTTATTACCCTGAAGATCTGGAGGACGACTTGGATTTAGCCAATGCGACAGCAGTGTTKGAGTCGCAAAACAGCAACACAACAATAACAACAACAACAAAGATGAAGACGAAAAGATGATAAACAAATTTTTGAACGACCAAAAAACCAAAAACACAGGGTATAAAACGAAGAGTGACATGAAAGCCTGGCAAAGATTTTGTCAATCCATTGGAGAAAGCAGAAAAATGGAAGACATACCTGAACCTGAGCTGAATACACTGCTTTGCAAATTTTTCATCTCCATCCGCAAACAAGATGGCGGCGAGTATGAACCGGGAAGCATTACTGGATTTCAAAGAAATTTCCAACGTTATCTCCAGGAAAAAGGTTCTTCGTATAATATATTCAAGGATAGCGAGTTTTCCAGGTCCAGAAGCGTCATTGCTGCCAAACGAAAGGATCTCACTGGCAAAGGAAAAGGCAATCTTCCCAACGYAACGAGAGAGCTGACGGCAACCGAGGTARACACACTGTTTGAGAGCGGGCAGTTCAGTGTTGAAGAACCAAAGGCACTGCAAAGGGCTCTGTGGTGGTTCCTTTCCCTACATTTTGGTTGGAGAGCAAGAGATGAGAGCCGGAAGTTGRGCCCGGGAGATGTGAGCCTTGAAAATGACCCAGAAACTGGAGCTGAATGTCTGATGTGGAAAACAGAAAAAGGTAGCAAGACACGAACAGGCCAAGAAGGAGGGCACCGAAGAGCTTTCAATCCAAAAGCATATGCCAATGTCAACAAATCGAGATGTCCCGTTGAGTTTTACAAGGCATTTAGGAGCCATCGATCAGAGTCTATGTTAATGTCTGATGATCCTTTTTATCTGGCCATCAACCACAAACGAAAACCAGAGGATAAAGTTTGGTATTTGAATAGACCTCTCGGTAAGAATGAAATTGGAAAGTT